CCGGGTGGTGCGGGTGCGGGTGCGCATGCCCATGGGGAGACGTCGGCGATCGCTTCGCCGCCATACCCATCCCCGTGCTGGGTCGACTCGTACTCCCGACGCTCGTCGCGCTCGTCCCCGCACTCCCACTCGCGTTGGTGTTAACACTACCCGAGCTCGCGCTCCTCCCACTCCCACTCCCACTAGAACCGGACGCGGCGCTGGCGTAGCTCGCACTCGCACTCGGGGCGGGGCGGGCTCGTCGGCTCCGGCGGGCGGGGCTCGAGGTGTTGTGCTTGTGCTTGTCCTCCTTGCGCTCCTTGTCCCTGCGCTCCTTGCTGACCCTGCCCTTGTCCCTGTCCCTGCCCATGTGCCGGAGCACAGCCACGGACGTGGAAGGCGGCGACCGCGACTGCGAGTGTTGCTGGGCTGGGGATACGGCGAATGCGAATGCGAAGCGACCCCAACTGCGCCTGCGCCTGCAACTGCTGTGCCCGGCTCTGGCTCTGTATCGGCGGTAACTCGAACCCAAAACGCGATGAGCCCGAGGCCGAGGCCGAACCGGGCTGCGATTGCGATTGCGATTGCTGCTGCTGCAGCTGGGATTGTAGCTGGGATTGTTGTTGTTGTTGCTGCTGCTGCTGTTGCTGTTGGAGATTTTGCAGATGTTGTTGCTGCTGCTGTTGCTGTATCTGCAACGCCTGCTGCTGGAGGTGCCCATGATGGACCGCAAACGGGTTATCTCCACCCCCACCCCCACCCCACCCCCAAAGACAAAGAGGGCAAATCAAACGCAGCCTGCGCCCCCGTCAGGTCGAACGCCTGGGAGCTCGTCAGGTCGAACCCAGTCGCATTCCCCTGCGAAGTTAAATCGAATGCATTCTGCTGCCCCGTTAAATCGAACGCATTCTGGCCCACCCCTGTTAAATCGAACACAGACTGCCCCGGCGCGGGCGAGTGCGAGTGCCCGAGCGAGAGCGCGGAGAGTGAGAGCAGGCTGTTGAGGTCGAACCCGCCCACGCCTTGCGCACCAACGGCGGCGGCGGCCTGGGAGAACTTGTCGTAATGCACTTTGAGGGTGCGGCCGTTGTATTCATATCTGGTAGAAGAAAGGGAAGGGATGTGAGTATTGAGATGTACAACGCGGATGGGCAGGGGGGAATGGAGAAAGAGAAAGAGAAAAGAAAAATTCGGAGGGGTTTATAAGAAACAGAGAGAGGTGAGCCCTGACCCCGGGTCTGGGGCAGGAATGGGGTCGGTGTATATGAGGGCGCATGTCAGGGCGCCGCGGCGCACCAAGCCGCCCCGCCCAACACGAGACACACATGTCAATCATACGTGCGACCAGCCCAATCGTGAGCCCGACCCAACCTGAAGTTGGTCGGAGCATATCAGGGCGCACGCAATTCGTGCACTCCATCCTCGGGGTCTTTGGAAGAAAGGAACAGAGACAGACGAGCCCCGAGGCCGCCAGGAATCAAATCGCCGTGGCGCGCATCCGCCCACGCACACCCGCCCACGCACAACACGCGTGCTATTCATGAACTCCATCCTCGGGGTCTTGGAAGAAAGCAAGACGAGTCCGCCGGGAGTAGGAGCACGACGGCGCAGATCGCTGCGCGCAAACCCGCCGCGCCTAACACAACACGCGTGCGATCCGCAAAGTCCACCCTCGAGGTCTTTGGAAGACGAACCCCGACCCCGGGGGCAGGAATCACGTCAGGGTATATCAGGGCGCGCAAACCCGCCTGCGCCTGCGCCCGACCCCCAACACGCGTGCGATTGGCAAACTCCATCCTCGGGGTGTTTAGACGAAAGAAAAAGGGTCAGGAATCAAGTCGGCGTATGTGAGGGCGCATGGGGCGGCTCGCACACCCGCCCGCGTTACGCACGTATCAATCATACGCGCGCCCAGCCCAGTCGTGAGCCCGGCCCAGACCTGAAGTTGGTCGGGGCATATCAGGTTGGGACATCCGGGCGCATGGGGTGGTGCGTTCCACGCATATAGCAGTTATACGTGCGATTCGTGCACTCCACCCTCGGGGCTTGGGAGAAAGAGGAAAAGAAAGAACGACGAGCGCCGATCCCGATCCCGACAGGAATCAGGTCGGTGCACATCAGAGCGCATGGCCCGCAGCTCAAACCCGCCTACGTCCAACACGCGCGCACCCAACACACACGCACGTATCACCCACACACGCTATCCGCTATTCGCAAACTCCACCAGCGGGTGTGGGTGTCAAATGGCTCGCAAACCCGCGCTGGCACAACCACCGCGCAATGCGCCCAATCCGAACACGCGCAATTATACGCGCGACGTGCACTCCACCGCTGGGTGCGTGTAAAATCAAAATCGCGTCACCGGACCAAACTGCCGCGATTTTTTGACACCCGCGAGTTCGAAGTTCGAAGTTCGGCGCCATCGCGGAACGGAACCAGAGTTGGGTGACGAGGTGGGTGACAAAGAAACAGGAGGAGGGGAGTGTAGATTATCCCCACAATTGGAAGCCGTATGAAAAAAAAAGAACGGAAGAGAACAGAAGAGGGACGGCGAAAAGGACGTCGGAGAACAGAAAAACGGACGTACCCCGAAAACATGCCAACGGCCCTCCGGGCGTCCTTTTCTGTGGCGAAGACGACGGTGCCGAAGCCGCGCGAGCGGCCGTCGGGCCCGAGCGCGACGTCGGCGCGGACAATCGTGCCCGCCTGCCGGAAGAGGTCCTTGAGGTCTTGCCACTGGACGTGGAACGGCAGCTGCACATTAATTAGGACTAGCCAGAGAATGCGAGAATGAATTGAGACGGACATTGCCTACAAACAAATTACGGCCCGCCTGGGTCGCCTGAGCAAAGTCGTCCTCCACCTCGGGAAACGGCTGGTCAAAGTCGCGCACGCGGTCCGCGCGGACCTCGAGGATGCGTCCCTGCCAGGAGTAGCCGCTGAACATGTCCACGGCGCGGCCTGCGTCCTCCGCGGTGGCCAGCAAGACCGTTCCATACCCTCTGAGCGATTATCGGGACCGAGGGAGACGTCTGCGCGGAGGACGGTGCCTGCGCGGCGGAAGAGGTCTTGAGGTCCTGCCAGCGGACGCGGTAGGGGAGATTTGCGACGAAGAGCTGGTGCGGGTGTCGCGGAGGGGAGGGTGCGGGGGTCGTTCTGAGCGGCGGCGGTGGCCATTTGGATGACGGCTTCGATGTCATCGTTGGAAGGGGTCGTCGTTGGCGCCGTGCTTGGAGCGGCGTCGTTGTGGTCTCTTGCATCGAGTAAGGAGCCTGCTCCACTCCAAACGTCATCGATCAAAGACAAGTTATCGCACGCCGCTTTCTTCAAAAAGCTAATCTGCGCCAACTACCCGAGTTGCATTTCTTGACTTGCTTTTTCATTTGGAATTGGTCGTTCAACGCAGACACTCGAGAACAAGAACAAGAACAAGATCATCGACTACACGACATCCATCCTATATACGCGTAGCCCACGACGTCACTCAGGGCAACATTCAATCCAGCGCGGCCTAGACGCGGACTTGCCTGGGTATTCATCGCGGTTCTGAGATTCTCAATCCCGTACCTGGGCTTGTCCATCACTCTGCCGCCAACAGCCGTCCTGAACTTTAAATTGGCGCGACAAACGTGTGCGTCGGGTTGGTCCACGCGCGTATTACAGGCCCCGAGCCTTATCGCGTCCCTCAGCCTCGCCGTCATATAGTCTTTTTATTGATCCCGCTTGGAATTCTCCGTCGAGGGTCTTCTGGTACCTGCTACTTGGGAATCAACTCGTGAATTATGCTCAATCTCTTGCTGCTGAACGGATGAATTCAACTCTCGTCTACTTCTCCCACAGCCTTGAACGAACAACAACATCCATCGCCCCCGTAGATCAGCGGTAGATCATCCTCGCTCAATTATAGAGCTGTCTGTAGATTTCGAGGACGTCGTAGGTTCGAACCCTACCGAGGACATTTGGCCGAGGCACAGTTTTTTGTTTTGTTTTTTGGTGTCCCAAATATCCTTCATATAATCCACGATGAACCCAAGGAAGTATCGCCCCCGTGGATCATGGTTGATCATCTTCATCTAGTCGCAGACACTTCTCTTCTTTATGAAGACGTTGTAGGTTCGAATCCTACCGAGGGCATCCACGGATGAAGTTGGTGATTTTTTTGAGGTTTTTGTTTTTGTTTTTGTTTTTGTTTTTGTTTTTGTTTTTGGCGCATCTTCACTTCCCTCAAACCTCCATCACTGCATATGTATAATTCACGATTCCCAAAAGGAAATATCGCCCTCGTGGATCGCGGTTGATCATCTTTGTCTCATGCACAGTTCGTTGATGTCCACTCCGATTATAAAAATTCCTCAACTCCTCCTCCATGATACATACCATAACTCAACACCATGATCGAACAAGGCAGATCATCGCCCCCGTAGATCAGCGGTAGATCATGTTCATCTAGTGGTAGGCAAGTGCCACAGTTTATGAAGACGTCGTAGGTTCGATTCCTACCGAGGGCACTTCTCTTTAACTGGGCTTTTTGGTTTTGTTTTGTTTTGTTTTGGGGAGGGTCTTTGATTTTGCCACAGATCCATCCAATGTACCAATTGCAATTGCGGGGCCCAACTTTAAAATTGATCTTTACTGACATGTAATCCACGATGCAACAAGGGAAGAAATGCCCTCGTGGATCATGGTTGATCATCTTCGTCCCATCTGACAATATAGACATCGCCGAAGAAACCGTAGGTTCGAATCCTACCGAGGGCATTTGCGTGAGGTAGCTTTTCTTGGTGTTCCCAAATATCCTTCATATAATCCACAATGCACCCAGGGAAGGAATGCCCTCGTGGATTATGGTTGATCCTCTTCGCTTCTTAACCCAGTGGACATGGCAGTTTCTGAAGACGCTGTAGGTTCGAATCCTACCGAGGGCATACATATTTGACGAGTTTTTGTTTTTGTTCTCGGTGCCCTCGCTACCCTCAAACCTGTCACTGGCATATAATCCACGATGCACTCACAGAATTAATGCCCTTGTGGATCGTGGTAGATCACCTTCATCTAGTCCGACGTAGAACCTCTGAGCTTTATGAAGACATCGTGGGTTCGAATCCTACCGAGGGCATGCACGTATGGAATGAATGGATGGTTTTTTTTTTGGTGCGTCTTCATTTCCCTCAAACCTCCGTTAGGCTTGAATCTTACAGAGGGCATTCACGGTGTAATTTTTTTTTTGGCATGTCTTCATTTCCTCAAACCTCCTTCATATAATCCAGGATGCACCATGGAATCAATGCCCTCGTAGATCGCGGTCGATCATCTTCATCCTATAATATGTTGTATCAATACAGTTCATGAAGACATTGTAGGTTCGACTCCTACCGAGGGTGGTGTTTTTTTTTTTTTGTGGCGTGTCATTTCCCTCAAGTTATAACCCTCCATCACTGGCATATAGCTCATGTTGAATCCGGACAAGTATCGCCCTCATGGATCGCGGTAGATCATCTTCATCCTATAATTGGTCCCCGCTTCGGACTTTATGAAAATGTTGTAGGTTCGGCTCCTACCGAGGGCATGCTCCGTGGGTCGATGATTTTTTTGACCTGTCTTCAATACCCTCAACCTCCGTTACTGTACTGGCACACTTTTAGCTTGAATCTTACAGAGGACATTCACATAATGCACTTATCGAGGAAGAAACAATGTTTTTTGGTGTACTCACCCTCAGGCACTGGCACATAATCCACGATCCAACAAGAGAAGTATTGCCCTCGTAGATCATGGTAGATCATCTTTGTCTCATAATTTGGTGAGGCTCTCCTCATGAAGATGTTGTAGGTTCGAATCCTACCGAGGGCATTTGACAGCAGGAAATAGATTTTTTGTGTGTTCCCTCAAATCTCCATTACTGTACTTTTTGTTTGAATCTTACAGACAGTGTTCAAATAATGCATTGGACGCAAGAAGCAAAGGGTTTTTTCTGGCATGTTTATTTCCCTCAAACCTCCGTTGCTGGCATATACATATATAATCCACGATGCGCCACAGAATTAATGCCCTCGTGGATCGCGGTAGATCATCTTCACTCCGTTCCACTCCGCCAAAGCTTTAAAGATGCTGTAGGTTCGAATCCTACCGAGGGCATAACATCTTTTCAGTTTGGTTTTTTCTTTCTTTCTTTCTTTTTTTCGGGGGGAGGGTCTTTCATTTTGCCACAGGCCCACAGACATCCAATGTATGTACCAATTGCGGGGCCCAACTTCAAAATTGATCTTTACTGACATGTAATCCACGATACACTATATCGGGATTAATGCCCTCGTGGATCATGGTAGATCATCTTCGTCCCATCTGATAATATAGACATCGCCGAAGAAACCGTAGGTTCAAATCCTACCGAGGGCATTGCGTGAGGTAACCTTTCTTGGTGTTCCCAAATATCCTTCATATAATCCACAATGCACCCAGGGAAGGAATGCCCTCGTGGATTATGGTTGATCCTCTTCGCTTCTTAACCCTGTAGGCATGGCAGTTTCTGAAGACGCTGTAGGTTCGAATCCTACCGAGCGCATTCCCGGTAGCACTTGTCTTTTTTTGGGGTTTTTTTTGGCATGCCTGCATTTCCTTCAAACCTGTCACTGGCATATAATCTTTGATGTACCAAGGCAAGTACTGCCCTTGTGGATCATGGTAGATCATCTTCGTTCAATTAAAGAAATGGCCTAGACTTCCTAAGACAGCGTAGGTTCGAATCCTACCGAGGGCATAGCATGAGTTTTCTTTTGGTTGACGAGTCTTCTTTCCCTCAAACCTCTTAACATTCACATAATGCATTGGACTGACTCCAAGAGGCAATGTTTTTTTGGCATGTATGTACCCACTTCCCTCAAACCTCTGTCACTGGCATATAATCCACGATGCAACAAGGCAAGTATCGTCCTCATGGATCATGGTTGCACCTTCATCCAATCACAATAATGGAACCGTTTATGAAGACGTTGTAGGTTTGATTCCTACCGAGGGCATTCGGTGTAGCAAAAACATTTTTTTTGGTGTGTTCCTTCAAATCTCCGTTACTGTACTTTTTTTTTGTATCTTACAGAGGGTGTTCGAATAATGCAAGAAGCAGGAAACAATGGTTTCTTTTTTTTGCATGTTCATTCCCTCAAATTAAACTACTGTCGCTGGCATATATTCCATGATGTACCCAGGGAGATAATGCCCTCGTGGATCATGGTAGATCATCTTCGCTTCCTCCAGTGTTGGAATAGAGTTCTGAAGATGTCGTAGGTTCGATTCCTACCGAGGGTATTCAGTTGTTGTTTTGTTGTTTTGTTCTTTTTTTTTTTTTTTTGGTATCCTTACTTCCTTCAAACCTCCGTTACCGTACTGGCATACTTTTGGTTTGAATCTTACAGAGGGCATTCACATTGGAAGCAAGAAGCAATGTTATGTTCATTTCCCTCAAATTATAAACCTCCTTCATATAATCCACAACGCACTGAGACAAGTATCGTCCTTGTGGATCATGGTCGATCATCTTTATTCTGTCGTATTTTTCTTTGAAAAGTTATGAAGACGTCGTAGGTTCGAATCCTACCGAGGGCACTATCTCTTTCAACTGCTCTTTTCTTTCTTTTTCTTTTTCCTTTTGGGGAGGGTCTTTCATTTGCAATTGCCAGCCACATACCGAAATAAACATCCAATGTACCAACCGCGGGGCCCAACTTTAAAATTGATTTTTACTGACATGTAATCCACGATGCACCCACTGGCAGGGAAGAAATGCCTTCGTGGATCGCGGTTGATCATCTTTGTCTCGTAATGAGGGCATTAACAGTCTCTGAAGACATTGTAGGTTCGAATCCTACCGAGGGTATACATCTTTAAGGAGGTTTTTTTGGCATGCCTGCCTTTCCTTTAAACCTGTCACTGGCATATAATCCACGATGCACTCAGAGAAGTATCGCCTTTGTGGATCATGGTAGGTCATTTTCACTCTGTACGAATCTGTGTCCAAACATCACTTTGTAAGATGTTGTAGGTTTGATTCCTACCGAGGGCATATGCGCTTGAGTGGTTTTTTTTGCACGTCTTCAGTGCAATGCACCCAGGGAAGGAATGCCCTCGTGGGTTATGGTTGATCCTCTTCGCTTCTTAACCCTGTAGGCATGGCAATTTCTGAAGACGCTGTAGGTTCGAATCCTACCGAGGGCATATATATTTGACGAGATTTTGTTTTTGTTCCCGGTGCCCTCGCTACCCTCAAACCTGTCACTGGCATATAATCCACGATACACCACATAATTAATGCCCTCGTGGATCATGGTAGATCATTTTCATCTAGTCGCAGGTTCTCCAAATCTTTATGAGGACATCGTAGGTTTGAATCCTACCGAGGGCATTTGTAGATGTGACTGTTTTTTTTTGCATGCTCGCTTGCCTCAAACCTCCGTTACCGTACTGGCATACTTTTGGTTTGAACAGTGTTCAAACAATGCATTGGACGCAAGAAGCAAAGGGTTTTTTCTGGTATGTTCATTTCCCTCAAATCTCCGTTGCTGCATACATATAATTCACGATGCACCCATGGAGTATCGCCCTCGTGGATCGAGGTAGATCATCTTCATCTCATTATACCATTCGACACGATGTTCATGCAGATGTTGTAGGTTCGAGTCCTACCGAGGGCTTTCAGTTGTTTAGTTCTTTTTTTTTTTTTGGTATGTCTTCTTTCCCCCAAATTACAAACCTCGGTCACTGGCATATATAATCCACGATGCACAAGGGGAAGTATCGCCCATGTGGATCATGGTAGATCATCTCCATCCCATTTTCAGTCCTGAAAGACTCGGAAGATGTTGTAGGTTCCAATCCTACCGAGGGCATTCTGATTCTCATACCTTTCTTTTTTGGTGTCCCCGAATATCCTTCATATAATCCACAATGCAACAAGGAAAGTATCACCCTCGTGGATCATGGTAGATCATTTTCATCCCATAATCAGCCTCAAAAGACTCGGAAGATGTTGTAGGTTCAAATCCTACCGAGGGCATAATAGGGGTGGCGGAGTGTTTTTTTGGCGTGTCTTCACTTCCCTCAAAATTCAAACCTCCGTGGCTGGCATATAATCCACGATGTACGCAGGGAAGAAATGCCCACATGGATCATGGTTGATCATCTTCATCTCATTGCCGTTCTCTGATATAATATGTTTATGTTCAACTCCTACCAAGGGCATATGCACCCAAGGCGGGGTTTTTTTTTGGATTCCCTCAAACCTGTCACTGGTATATAACTCATGATGCAACAAGGCAAGTATTGCCCTCGTGGATCATGGTTGATCATCTTCATAATTTGGAAGAGGCAATCGAATCTCGGAAGATGTTGTAGGTTCGAATCCTACCGAGGGCGTTGAGCTTTGGTGTTTTCGTTATGCATGTCTTCACTACCATCAAACCTGTTACTGGCATATAATCCACGATACAACAAGGGAGGTATCGCCCCTGTGGATCGTGGTCGATCATCTTCACTCTGTTCCAATTTGGCAATAGCTTTGAAGACGCTGTAGGTTCGAATCCTACCGAGGGCATGCATGGTGCAGTTCTGGTTTTTTTCCCTCCATTTTTTCTTCTTACAATGCATCCTAAAGGTCGGAAACTGGAGTCCACAATGATTGATAATATGGGTTCTGGGGTCGGTATTGCTGATCAACGGTCCCAAAACGTATCCATCACAACCGTGAGAAGATTAAGATTGCCAGTTCAGTTTTACCTGAAAGCAATTTTGCAGACCAAAGCAGCGCAGCTCTGGAGGTTCTGCAGACGGTTTTACAATTTCTCAATCCTCTATTTCTTGATCCTCCATTTTCACTAACTATTCAAAGTTTCACAACTACTTATGTACAGTACACTGCGTCGTTCTAAAGTTTAGAATTCAACTTCCCGCGCGGCGCATAGTCCTGAATCAGCGCTGTCCAAATGGCGCGCGCGACCTCATATGGTTTTTCCTGAGTTACCTATCCCAAAAGAAGAAAAACCATTAACCATTGAACCAAAGAATATTCCGTGCAAACGCACGAGATGACCTGCGCCGTGGATCTTCGAAACCGAGGCCATGCGCCGTCCCTTCCCTGCATCGCAAATATCGCGCTGTGTTTCAACCGGGCTACATAACCCATAAGCAATATTCAGCCGATCAGCCTTTCCACTACATATATGCAGATATAAAACTGGCGCACACCAAGTCGTTTTCCGTCCCGAAGATGCAGTGCACAGGGATTCGCGGGCAGACGACCGTGAGTTGTTCAGTTGCGTCGACGCCATCGCGCTCGTACATGTACCCCGCAGTCTCCTGCGCACGAGTGCACGCCAGGGTGACGCCGTGTGTGCGCGCGGGATGCGTGGCGGTCGGGAGATCCCGCAGGCCGTGGTGCTAAGGGCGGCGGTCAGTGAGTATTGGGCATACATAAATTTTCGGTAAATACGGACCACGAATAGGGCGAGGGTGCGCGCGTCCCATCGCTTCCATGGAAGCCGCGCTTTGAACCACGCATGGGCGGCGTCACGCGACTCCCAGGTGTCCTTGCGCGCCTTCACAGCGGCTGTGACGCGCTTCACCGCAGAGGCAGAGCTGGGCTTCGAGAGCCATTGTGCGTACGCCTCCTTCGTCATGGAGGTTGGCTCGATCAGGATCATAGACGTGTACGGGAGGCTGCCAGGAGAAAATTCAGTCGTGGATAATACCCTGTGTGCTTGAACGGTGAGAAAAAATAATTGATATGTTGACGTGATGACAGGGGTCTGACATTATGCAGGCACCGGCAGAGTGGCCGATGGAGACGATATTGGTGTCAGGAACGATGAGACCGGAGTCAAACAAAGTGCGGACACCCCGGCCCCACTCATACCCCGCTGTTCGTGTACCCGACATCAAGTTAGCGGCCGCAATGGTTTTACGGAAGAGAGAACATACAGATTCCACCCGGTCGCCCGAGAAGAGATTTTTCATTGATCGCCGCAGATTCCCCGTGATTGGGAGATTCAGCCGACCAGACCTCCGCAATCGAGACGCCGCAAGGGTCAGAGTGTTGAAATTGGAACAGGTATTCGATGACCGGGTCCCAAGTCTCCTTGTCTGAAGGTCGATAAGGGTTGAATTCGCGTGTTTCGGTAAAATTAAAACGAAAGCGCACGGGTTCCAACACAGTGTGCCAGGACAAGCACGACTGACTCTCTGGCGTCAGCCGGCTGGGTCGCGCAAGACTTGTACCTCTGAAATATGAGGGTCAGGTCGCCGATGCCGTCTTGAGACCTTCCAGGGAGTGAATGGCGCGTAACTTCCATCGTAAGGTGCGACATTGGACAGAAATTCGAGCAAGGATAATGGAGGTGGACCACCTTAAATCATAATGAGTGAAAAAATAGATCCGGCGCCTTGGTACCGCCGGAAAGCCACAAATACTTTTGAAATAGAAGCGCGCCTCTGTCATCCGTCCCGCAACTTGGGTAACAAAGTCGGGGGACAAAAAATTGAAGTCGGAGGTTTGGAACCATGAACTTGAAGTGGTGAGGATCCGCGGATCCAGACAGGTTCAAGTTGCGGGCAATGGAGGTGGAACGGCGATTGACTCTCAATCGCCGGGAAACCGGAGCTAGCGGGGAACTGGAGCCCCACATATCGTGCTGTAGGCACGAATGCGGTGGACGCATTTCCTCGAGAGGTTGTGCTTTTTATCGTCTGGCCTGGTTCCAAGTCCGAGGCCTCAACTTATAGCGGGCGGGGCGACCGACTATGTCGGCCCGGAAACTTCGGCAGGTGGCCTGCGGACCTGTCGGAGGGGAAGGGGATGAGAGCGACAGCGCGTCTAACTCTCTCTTGGCTCCCGCCATCAACGCTCCTCAAAAATAAATAAAAAAATAAAAAATAAAAAATAAAGTTGCTGGCGGCCGCATCAATGACAGTCCAACGACGGCCCTGTGACGCAATGATTGACGGCATGAAATTTGAATAGCTTTTGAGTTGAAGCCTTCTTAAGGCTTGCAGTAAGGTCAAGTCTCATGGAGAGTAGGGCTGATAAAAAGATGAAAGCAAGAGGCAGGCGGAGTTCAAATTTCGGATCAAGTCGGCACGCATTGGGTCAACTTGAACGTGATTTCATCGATGACGGACGGCCTGCGTTTCGACGAACCCAGTAACGGCTCCCCCAAAAGAACCTTCCCGGTGGACTCGGACGCCCGTAACGATGTCCAGATGCTCAAGCTTTCGACACTACAAGTCCGTAATGCCTCAAGGCTCAGGCTCTGTCCAGCCTGAGTCTTCGAGGGTCTGCGTGAATCATAGGGTGCAAAATCCAACGAAAAGAAGTGTGTGTTAAAAAGAAATCCATTTCTCAGCCATTCACACTCTCAGAAGAACTTCCTGCTCTTGATATGCCTCGCAGCTACAAACTTTAACAGAGTTCGTCCGATCGTGTAGATCCCTCTCTTGCGCCGCCCCGCCTCTCCAACTCCCAGTCCGACACCGTGCACTTTCTTTCGCAAGGGCTGCTAGACGCCGCGGACGGTTTTTGAAGACTACCAGTTGACGCAGATGGCCACTATATCCAATTTTTACGCTGGGGACTCCAGCGGACACCGCTCTGTTCTCGCCTCAGGGTGCGTTATTTCCGGAAAGAAACATGACACCCTCGACGGTCATATGCCCCGGACCCATTTAAAGCACCTACTAGGTGACGTGAGCCTCGCTGTAGTTGGCTCTCACTCCACTTTAGGTACTTACGTGACATGAGCCTCGCTGCAATGTGCTCTTACGAACCTCCGCGAATCTTTCCACCGTAACTCCACATCTTCCGTGTCCCATTGGTCTGGACTACATACGACCGTCCCAATCCCCGGCGATATACCTCCGACTGCCCTTTCAAGCTAACTTCATTAGCCGTTCGCCAACTGGTCACTTGAATCGTCTTGAGCTTGAATGCACTTTCCCTCTTGATTTCAAAAAATCTGAAAAACTTTGGTCTGTCAAAATGGATAAAAAAGAGTCCGATGGGCGCGCCCCTTAGGTAAAAAAATCATTTTTTCATTTGTTGAAAATGGTGTTTCACTTGCGACTTTGGCTCTTTGTCGGCCAATTGTAGCTGGATCAAATGCAATCAGGTGCGATCAAGTTTTCGGCAGAAATTCTGAACATGTCTGTCCCAGACCTTCTGACTTGGAACGTGGGACTTGGGGCGCCTCGGCTTGCGTCCGCGAGATGAAATTTGCGGCGAAACCCGCTGCTTTTGATGATTATTATTATTATTCTTCTTCTTTGAGCATGTTGAGTGACTAGATCTATCCTTTAACTCGATTCAACATCAAGACGTGGCTTTGAAAATTGATAAAATAGGCTGGGAAATTCCTA